CTGGGACAGGAATGCCCGAAGTGGGCTGCAGCCATCGCCGATCCTGAGCCCTGAGGCCCACCTTTGAGGAGCGGAAGTCTGCGTGCGTGGATCACTCTTACCACGTGCTTCCTATGCCCCTCTTCGTAGTGTCCTGAGTCCTTTGTGTTTCCAGCCCGAGGAAGCTTGCCGCTCACTGCCACACGGGCCTGGGCAGAGACGGAGGTTGGTGTGCTTTCTCCTGGTCACACGCTGGCCGAGCAGCAAGAGGAGCCAGGCCTGGCGCTCCCCTCGAGTTCCCGTGCCTCTCTCTGCGTGCTGCATTACGGCGGCTGGCATCTGGGGCCCGCACGTGTTGCTGTTGACAGAAGAGGTGACACTGCACTGGTCAGCAGGAGTGGCCCGGGACGGGGCATCTCCAGACCTGTTTAAAGGCTCACAAAGCAGAAAGTGTTTTCTTTTTTCAGTCTTATTCTCTCATTAAGTTTAGAGGCTTCATTATGAGTGGGAACACCCTGTCTTTCTGCTTTTAACTAAATGTAGACCTGGGCATGGTGGCATATGCCTGTGACCTCAGCACTCTGGAGGCTGAGGCAGGAGGATAACCCAAAGCCAGCCTGGGCGACACAGTGAGACCCTGTCTCAGAAAAACCCAAATGCCCACAAAACCCAAAACCAAAACCATGAGTATAAACCAACACACACACATGAATACACATATGTTTTGGGAAACCACAGTTATAATATGTTTCTGTAAATAGCTGAGTTTGTTTTAATAGCATACATATTTAAAATAATAAACTTTTTTTTTGTATTTTAGGGAAGGGTCTACAGGGTGTTCAGAGTCTCCCTACTAGATCGGACTCATAGTAATCCGCCTGTTTGCAGCCTCCCAAGTGCTGGGCTTACAGGTGTGCGCCACCACGCCCGGTCTCTGGGGCTGGTTAGTGCACCCAGGTTCGGGACCGCTGCATCGGGGATTGATCCCCCGTTCCTGCACTTGCCTAAACATATGCTTATTCCTCTGAGCTATCTCACTGGCTCTGTATTTTTCTTTAAAATTTAAATTTATGCTTTTGGTACAGGGTCTCACTAGGCAGCTCGCACGTCACGCAGGGC